ACTTTCAAAAAGTTCAGTATCTTATCAAGATTTGGCCTCTGGCCCAAAATCTCACTCAAACTTGCATTTCCTAAATGCTGTCTACGACATTGATCAAGAGCAGCACAATTGCAAAGTATGTGTTTAACACTTACAGTACAATTGCAATACTGACATACCGGTTGATCATCACCCTTCAAAAAATATTGATGGGTCAGTCAAGTATGTCCAATTCTCAACCAAGCAAGGACTACCTCAGATCTCCTATCATACTGCCTATTATCTGTCCAATTTGATATCATCGGTTTGATCTCATGTAGTTTATTGTAGATTTGTGCATTCCACATAACTTGCCATCTCTCTGCTAGTCATTTTTTAACAACTAGTTTCAAATCCCCTCCTTCAGTATGCATCGTATGCTGTGGAAACTAGCTGACTTTGTAGCTGAGTCAGCATCTTCATTTCCTTTTATACCTATATGGCCTGGGACCCAACAAAATTTTACAAAGAAATCATTCGCAGTAAGATAGCAAAACAATTTACGAATTTTAATCACTATAGAGTGAGAACTAGGTTCACATGAGATCAAAGCCTGAAGTGCACTAACTGAATCAGTGTAAATCACGCAGCGACGATGACCTTTTCTAATCACATACTTTAAAGCTAAGTGAATAGCATGCAGCTCTGCAGTAAAGATAGATGAATTCGATGTAATTTGCTCTGCCATGATTTCATCCTGGCAGACAAAGGCTGAGCCAACATAATCATCCGATTTAGAACCATCGGTGTAAATAAGAATCAAATTCCTGTCATTGTGTTGGATTTCTGAAAGGTGCTGTCTGTAAATGTAGTCTGGGGTGGATTCCTTGGGAAACTGCTTTAAGCAGAAGTCAACATTTATCATAGTAGTTGACCAAGGTGGTATACTATCAACCTCGGCCTGTAAAACGTTGCTTGTGTTCAGGTCAATCGTGCTGCTTACATTCTCCATTCTTAAGGCAAATGTAGAAACACTACTTGTACGAGCTTCAAATAGCCTTTTCAGCTGAGTATCTGATACTGTACAATCAACTGAAGGTTTAGTATGAAATTTCTGTTTTATATAATAAAAAAGAGACAACTGTTCTCTCCTAAGAGATAGTGGAGGCTCATAAGCCTCCACATACAGACTTTGTACAGGAGAAGTGCGAAAGGCACCAGTGCACAAACGTAGGGCTTGATGATGGATTGGATCCAGCATCCGAAAAGTAGATTCTCGTGCAGAGCCATAAACAATGCATCCATAGTCCAACTTCGAGCGGACAAGGGCCCTATATATCCTGAGCATGAAACATTTGTCTGCTCCCCAGGATGAAAGGCATAATACCTTTAGAAGTTTCAGAGATTTTAGGCATCTACTCTTCAGGTTGCGCAAGTGTGGCAAGAATGTCAGTTTTTGGTCGAAAGAAACACCTAAAAACTTAGCCTCATTCACCATTGAAATTTTATCCCCATTTAAATGAATTTCAGGATCCACGTGCATTCCACGCCTTCGGCAAAAGTGGATGCACGAGGTCTTCGTTACATTAACCCCTTCTGAGTCGTGCTCGAGTGTGACTCGAGCAAGTTTTATAGCGTTATGTAAAAATCGGTCGTTAAGGCCACTTTTGAAAAAATTATTTTTTTTGAATTTTTGGAATGTTTTTTAGGTCCCCAAATTTTTTCAGAATTTTTTGCGCGCGCGAAAAAATTTTATCGCGATTTTAATGAGCCTTTGATAAGGCTCGATTAAGGCTTAATGATTTTTTAATGGGAGTTTTTTATCAAAATTAATTTATCATTCTAAAGTTGTAGTGCACCGATTTTCCTTCAGTAAAGTTATTTAAAGCTGCTTTCTGATGTCAAAAACGACTTCCGATAGTTTTTTAATTTTTTTAATTAATACATTTTATTATATATAAGTTTAATTAATTAGGGGGGTCGGAAATCGCAATAAAAATTATAATTTTTAAAAATATTTTAAAAATATACCGCTAGATTGAAGTCACCCCACTTTAAACCCTTGTCCTCCCGCGATGTCTATGAGAATGTCCCGGGAAATCCGACTCCAGCTGTGTTCAAGGTCATCCAGCTGTGTAAACAATAACTCATCGGTGTTAAATTTCGCAGAAAGGCCAGACAAAAAAACTTTAGACTTTGAAGCTTTTTCTTCAAAATTAACGCATTTCTTTCGTTTTTTTTAAGTTTTAAGTATTTTTTATGCTTAATTAAAAATTCTAAAAAAATGAGCGGCTCAAAAGGAATTAAATTTAAAGCCATTGGTCTTGGACCAATCATATATGCGATTTAGGAAGGTTTGCAGTTGTCTCTCAATGAAACTCATATTACTAGACTGGCAGATCTGAAAGTCATCCACATATAGAGTGTTTCACACTAGGAGGAAGACAGTTAGCTATGCTATTAATTTTAATTACGAACAGAGTCACGCTCAAAATAGAGCCTTGAGGGACACCTTCTTCTTGCGTGAAAGGCCTAGATAAAGTGTTGCCTATCCTGACATGGAATCTTCAATTCTGTAAAAAGTTTTTTATAAAAATTGGCAAGTTACCCCGCAACCTGAATTCGTACAGATCACGGAATATCCCGTATCGCCAGCAGCGATCATAGGCCTTTTCTATATCGAAAAATACAGACACTAAGTGCTGTCGTCTAACAAACGCTTCGCGTACAGATGTTTCAAGGTTTACTAAGTTATCAGTGGTACTTCTGTTCCTACGGAATCCACTCTGATGTGGTGAAAAATAGTTCTTTTCCTCTAGGAGGAACATCAGTCGTCTGTTTACCATCCTCTCAAAGAGTTTACACAGGCAACTTGTCAGAGAGATTGGTCTGTAATTAGAGGGATTCTTGAGATCTTTACCTGGCTTGGGAATGGGAATGATAATAGATAGCCACCAAGAGTCTGGAAAAGTATGTTCTTTCCATATTCTGTTAAACAGATGCAGGAGATTAGAAAGGGAATTGTTTGACAGATTTTTAATCATGCTGTAGTGGATTTTATCCGGGCTTACAGCACTATTCCCAGAGCGAGAGATCGCTGTATATAATTCAATTTTAGTGAATGGCACATTATATTCCTCATTAGATGAGGAGTGAAAGTTTAAATGTTGTTTTTCACTATGGGCTTTATAAACCTGAAAATTCCTTGAAAACATATTATTGCTGGATGAAGCAGAAAATGTTTCTCCTAATAAATCAGCAATACCCTGTATGTCGCTTATTATTGTGCCATTATTTTCAAGCATGGACAGAGAGTGAGAAGCATATTTCCCATTAATTTTATGGATTTTATCCCAGACTGCTTTTGAGCTGGTGGAAGATGTTATGCTTGAAACATACTTCCTCCAAGAATCCCTTAGGCTTTGCCTTCTTATTCTTCTGGCATTTCCTTTGCTTTTCGAAAAGCAACTAAATTTCTAGCAATGGGGTATCTTCTAAAAATCTCCCATGCTTTCTTTTGTGCTTTAAATGCTGCCTTGCAATTCTGGTCCCACCATGGTTTCAGATGCTTTGGGTATCTAGTTGATGTTTTTCCCATTGTTTTTTCGGCTGCCTGAATAATACTAGAAGTGACAACTTCAACTGCATCATTGATATCAGCAGTATTGACCATTTCCTCAGTGATGTTAGCCAAAGAGGAAAATGCCGGCCAATCTGCCGTTTCCAGTTTCCAGTGTGGTGGACGGGCTGTTTCACAGCTTTCTTTGCCTCGATATTTTAGAAATATTGGGAAGTGGTCGCTAGAGAGTGGATTACATCCAACCTTCCATGTAAATGCTGAAAACAGGTTTGGACTTGCTAAGGTTAAATCAATGGCTGTAAATGTTCTCGTTGGAGCATGGAAGTATGTCACTTCTCCTGTATTAAATAAATACAGTTGTTGATTNTCACTAGAGAGTGGATTACATCCAACCTTCCATGTAAATGCTGAAAACAGGTTTGGACTTGCTAAGGTTAAATCAATGGCTGTAAATGTTCTCGTTGGAGCATGGAAGTATGTCACTTCTCCTGTATTAAATAAATACTGTTGTTGATTGCCAATGAATCTTTCAATGGCCCTGCCTTGACGGTTAATGTCGGGACTGCCCCACATAGGATTGTGACCATTGAAATCACCGAGTAAAAGGAATGGAGTTGGCAGCTGTTTAACCAGTGCATCCAATTCATCCTCATTGACTCTGACATCTGGTGGCAGGTATATAGAACAAACTGTGACAGTTACTCCAATAGAAATTCTGACTGCCACAGCTTGCAGCTCTGTTGTTATTTGTACCGATAAAGATGGAATGCGATTTGAAACCAGAATAGCCACACCTCCACTGGCATGGTTGTGGCTATCATCATCCTTGCGATAGAGATTGAAACCTTTTAAAGAATTTTTTTTTCCAAGTTTTAGATGTGTTTCCTGGAGTGCCACACAGAGAGATGAGGTAGGTGATGTCAAGTGTTTTACGTCAGAGAAGTTTTTGCGGAAACCACGACAGTTCTATTGGATTATTTTATAATCCATTATGTGTTTGAGGCAGCATTTTTAGCAAGGTTATCCCTCTTTAATTTTACAGGGGGTTTTTCTTTTGGAAGTGATGTTGGTGGTGTCACCCCCTTATTATTCTCTTCATCAGAGAAGTCGGAGAACTCGCTCATAGACTGAGTCTCCGATTTTTTTGATTTAGAGAGGGCTGCTTTTATCCTTTGTTTATTAAGTGGGTTCTTACTGGCTTTTTTGGAACCCACATTCTTAGTTGTTACCCCTGTTTTAGGTATAAGTGGTTTTGCTCTTTTTCTGTTGCTTTGGTAGATGGTATCAGCAGACATTTTTCATGGCGAGTCAGAGATTCATTTGGTGAAACAGAAATGTCTGTCTGAACTCCACATGTCTTTGTGGATTTCAGAACAGCAGCAAATGTCTTCTGTTTCACTGGTGCACTTAAATTGACCATGCAACGTGCCTCCAGGTAAGATATATTAATTACAATCTTCAATCACTGAATTTCTTTCTCTCTCTGCCATGTAGTGCATTTTCGAGAATAGGCAGGGTGGGAATCTTTGCAGTTTACACAGCATGAAGAACTTGTGCATTCAGTACTCTTGTGGTCTTCATTTCCATACTGTGCGCATGCTTTTTTTCCTCTGCATGATATTTGGGAGTGTCCAAACTGCTGACATTTAAAGCAATGTAGCGGATTTGGAATGTATGGGCAAACTCGGCAACGGAGATATCCTGCCGCAACAGAAGATGGCAATCTTGGTTTGTTGAAAGTCAATATAAGGTGTTTTGTTGGTATCAACTTGCCATCAGGACGGATCAAAATTCGTCGAACAGCAGTGACACCTTGGTCTGAGAGACCAATGTGAATATCTGATTCATCCTCAGACGTCAGATTGGTTTCAGATATCACACCACGTGACGAGTTCAAATTTGTGTGTGGTGTGATGGTTAGCATTATTTCTCCTAGAGACTTCATTTTCAGAAGCTTTGCTGACTGTTGAGGGGAGACTGCTTCTACAAGTAGATCACCTGACCTCAGTTTTTGAATTTTTTTAAGATTCCCAATGGTCGATTCAAACAATTTTTGAATCAAAAAAGGAGAACGTTTAGATAGAGGTGTTTCTCCCATAGCATGAACGATAAGATATGCTGATTGATTGGAAGAAATGGCATCCCTTGGTGGTAATGCATCAGTACATGTTTTATGTTTTAGTGAATCCATATTTAATAACAGTTCAGCTCCTGGTGACCTCACCCACCATGGGGCCCAACAAGGGGATGCCGTCACATGGGAGATTCCCATAGACCGTCACACCAGGGTTTCCCAGGAGCTATACCCTCACAATGCAGTCAAGAAGAGCACATCTTGTCTGACATGTCCGCCCGGTCTGCATCGATCGGTTGACTCCAAGCCGAGGTCAAGAATGACTCAACGACCAGCCGATTGACTCAAACGGAGCCTGATTTGAGCCTCCCGTTTATCCGAAGCAGGGGCCAAAGCAGTGTGTTGGGGACGTTATGTTGCCCCTCAACTACCAGGATCCCCCTTTCCGGCATACGGGGTACCACGCACGGCAAACACATGGGTGGGCGTTCAGATCCCAGGGATGGTAAAGAAGAGTTACTAAACCATCTCTGGGAGGTCCCCTCACCACGGACAGGAATCCACATCGAGGGGCGTAATGACTTTTCTCCTTCTAAAAACAGTGTTGTGTGTATTAAACATTTTGATGACAAATTTATCATTAAAGAAAATAAAGTAAAAAGAGATGATGGGTCATGGTTAATAGTTCCTAGATTGAAACCAAAAATAACTGAAGATGTCTATCCTTCCATATTTCCAAATTGTCCAGCTTACCTTTCACATAAGCCTCCAGCCAAAAGAAAATCTGGTAATGACAGAAGAAAAGAATTATTTGAACGTGATAATCAACAGTTTTGTGAATGGTGCCAAAAACATATCATTAAATCATTTGCAGATTTGAAAGATGGTATTTCCAATCATGTTGCAAATTCTTGGTTGTATTTATTTGATACAGAATATGTTTTATTATATAAAATTACAATGTCAGATATTCCACAAGTAACCCATGCTATTAAATTGCTTCAAAATTTTGATATATGCATATATTTTAATGGAACCCAATTGGATAACAAAAACTTTAAATGGCTGTTAGGATCAGAAAAAAAGTGTGATCAATGGACTAAATTTGAGGCATTATTGAGTCATTTACAAGGATATAACAAAACAGAAGTAAAAATGAAAGATAAACTGCATCAAGCTGCACTAATCATCTTAGAATGTTTAAGTACCAAGAGTGAAGATTCTTTTGAATTTTCAAATACAAAATTGTCATTTCTCTGTTAACAGATAAATTTATTTAGTTCGAAACAACCAAGATACAGTTCTGAGACTTTAATATGGGCTTCCATGTTATTTTTTCATTCTCCAATTGCATATAGGCTCATTAAAAATAGTAATGTTTTGACATTACCACATACATCCTATTTACAGTTTTACTAGTTGCATTACTAATGATATTGATCCAAATACAGAACATATTACATATCTTAAAGAAAAAGTTCAATGCCTTAACTCAAAAGATAAAATAGTTATACTACAATTAGATGAAATACATGTAAAACCCATGTCATTATACAAAGGTGGTAGAATTTATGGATTAGCAATAAATAAAAAAATGTCAGAAGCTAAATGTGTTTTGGCATTTCTAGTGGCATCATTATTTTCTAAAGAAAAAGTTATTATTGCATTACATCCAGTTTGCAGTCTTAAAGCTGAGCAGTTGTTGGAATTAACAAAACAAGTGTTGAAAGTTGTAGCAAGCATTGGTTATCAAGTTGTTTCCATGACTGCCGATAACAACAGAATAAATCTCAAAAAAGAGTAAAATGTTTACTCTTTTTTGTGGTGGTGAATTAAAAGTATGTGTGAAGAATCCATTCTCAGAGGAATTGATTTTCTTACTATTTGATTCTGTGCACTTATTAAAATCAATTTGAAATAATTGGCTGAATATACACCATACTAACCAGACATTTTTTTATCCTGACATACAAAAGGAAACAAAATGCATTGCTAGTTTGTTTCATCTAAAAGAGATATTAAGAGCAGAAGAAGGCAAAATTGTGAAGTTTGCACCATCTTTGTCTTTAAAGGTATTATATTCTTTATCATTGGAAAGGCAAAATGTTTCATATGCAGTAAAACTTTTTGATAAAAAAGTAGCTGCAGCTCTGCAGGAATTTGCACAAAATGCAGATTATATCCAGACAAGATTTTATTGAAAGAATTGCAATATGGTGGAATGTAATGAATGTAAAACATCCAGAAAAGGGAAAACAATTAACAGATATTTACTGCAGACCAATATATACTAAAAATGATGAGCAAATTAAATTTCTGAATTGTTTTATAGAATTTTTGGATGCATGGGATAAATTTAACTTGAAACAACACTATGGAAGATTGTCATATGAAACACATTTCGCTTTAAAACATACAACTTATGCTACGATTCATCTTATTGAATATTTGTTTGAAAAATTTTCATTGAAGTTTGTACTTTTGGGAAAGTTCCAAACAGATAATATTGAAGCTAGATTTGGACAATATCGCCAAATGTGTGGTGGTAATTATCATGTTAGTGTTGTGCAGGTTTTAGAATGTGAAAAAAAATTAAAAATTTTAAGTTTACTGAAATTAAAATCTGAGAGAATAGGGAATTTCCATATTAAAGATTTGATGTCAGCTCAAGTAGAAAATTGTATGCAAGATTCCTTTAAATCACAGATGGATATTTGTTTTGAATGTTTGGATGATGTTCCAATTGAATGTGAAATGATAACAGTTCCTTTGTCTACTGTTAAAATTTTAGTTTTTATTGCTGGTTATGCTGTTCATAAATTATTACAGAAGATTTCATGTGAAAAGTGTAAGTCAGTAATATCCTGTTTAGATAAAAAATTAGAATTTGACATTTTACACCCTGAACTTATAAGTTATATTAAAGAAATTGATAGAGGAGGACTTTCATATCCATCTGGTTTATTTCTCACTTTAACTGTTGAATTATATAAGCTTTTTCAATGTTTATTACAAGCTAAGTATGACGATCAATTTCTACAGTGCAAAAAAACAAAAAGAGTTATTTATGAAACTTTCATTTGAAAGAATTGAACTAATTGATTTAGTATCTGTCAGTGTTCCATGTATCTGTGGAACAATGCCATATTTTCTTTTGAAAAATTTTTTAAATATAATTTCAAATATTTTTTTAAATAATTATTGTCATGCAAGAATATCAGCATTGAAACATATACCTGGAAGAAAAAGGAAATTACAAACTTACAATAAATCTGCAAATTAATTACTTTAAATACTTTACCTACACATTTCCACTTGCACTTATTCTCATAATAGTAATAAATATTTATATACTGTATTAAGTTAGATTTCTGTTTTATTTTATATATAAATTTTTCTAAATACATTTACAGAAGTAATATGTAATAATATAGATTTTTAAAATAAATTATATTCTTTGTAAGATAAAAATTAATAATTGCAAGACTTTTGATATATTTATTTGTTTAAAAAGTTGATAAAATAAATTTTAAAAGTTAATCATGCAGTGTTGTTCATTATGAAACTTTTTTCACTTAAAAATTATTTAATACATTTATAACATTTAAATATTACCTCGATAAATTAATTTTAAAAATAATTCTTTTGATAAAAAAAAATATTCTATTTAACATAAATGATCAGCAACGCTTTGATGATGAATGACCAGTACTGTGACCTCCAAGCAGGCCTTGAATAACGATGGCCTCAGTCAGGCCCATCCTAGTCTCGTGTAATGATTAATTTAACTTTCGTAATTCTCACCTGACCCGTCTTGTTCGTACGCCAGGTTCCCGGTCGTATCTCCAACCAAGGAAAGTCCACTAAATCTGTCTTTCGATTTTATTCACACAAAACAAAAATTAACTAATTCGGTTAGAAGAGAATTCCGTTATTTCCCGCTCTTTTTGAACATAAGAACGTCTTTTCTAAGTGTTGCCAACTCTCTACAATAATAATAAGAAACAAAAAAAAAAAAAAACGCCCGCCATCTAGCGGTATGAACGGGTCATCCTTCCACCTTTGATTTTGTAAGTCAAAATCAAATTAAATTTAAATTTAAATTTAAACCTGACAAAACACATATAGTATAAATTGAATGAGTTCGAATCAGTTTATAAATCTGGTCGATTTGGAGTCTTTAGGAATCTGTCCCTTTTTGAGACTCGATAATTTTCAGATGAGTTTGTCACAACATCACTCTCTGTAACGGCAGAGGTCATTCGGGACTCATCATAGGTCCCGTCGCGATCATTTTCAGTAGAGCCTGCAGTCTTGCCACGAAATTCGTTTCGCATAGCATGCTTTCCATTCTCCGAAAAGATCTCCAAGGGGTACAATTTCCTAAAAGGACGGATGAGAAATCCAACATGTGTTTTTATTTTGGCTACCTCTTACCAATCCATTTTTACCTGGATAGATCTCGATAACTTTCGCCAGAGGCCAATCAAGTCGTTTTTGGTTGTCATGCCCAACCAAGACGATATCTCCCACGGCAATCATTTTAGTGCCTTTGGCTACCCCTCTCGGGTTTTGCAATTGCGCCAGGTACTCAATTCGGAATCTATTTCGTAAATCTTTTCTCAACTTGCATAAATAACGGAATCTCTTCCCAAGATTTACCTTTTCCATGTGGTCTAAATTGGGAAGTCCAGTTTTCTTTACTCCTTGCAGAAACATATTACGAGTCAACGGAATTAAATCTTCAATATCTTCCGAGAGAGTAGTAAGTGGTCGAGAGTTCATCAAACCCTTTACCTCACAGATAATTGTGTAGAGTTCTTCGTAGGTTAACGAAGCTCGTCATATTTCACAATATTCTCCTCATAATCTCTTCATAAAATTCATAAGTCAAATTCTCCTCATAATCTGCTTTACACATCCTACCAACCTTTCCCACCAGCCACCCCCATGGCGAAGCTGGAGGAATGAATTTCCAGGTAATGTCTTGAACAAGAATTTCATCTTTGATCTCTTTAAGTTCCACCTCAGAGAAAATTTTGGCGGCACCGACAAAATTTGTGCCGTTATCACTATAAATAACAGAAGGGCGTCCTCTTCTTGCCACAAATCTTCTA